AGGAAGTTTCTATACGTGGTCGATTTCCTGATTGTATTGATTATTTAGGGTCTCAATTTCTTCTTGTTCCAACCTAGGTAGGTTGTGTGATGTCAGAAAGTCCTCTATTTCGTTATGGTTTTCAAGTTTGTTTCCATACAAGTGTACGTAGTAGTCTCTAATGATCTTTTGTATTTCTTCAGGGTCAGATGTGACTTCATCTTTTGTGTTTCTGATTATGCTTATTTGGTTTTTTTCTCGTTTTTTCTTGGTCAGTCTAGCTAGGGGACCATCAATCTTGTTTACCCTTTCGAAGAACCAGCTTTTTGTTTCATTGATTTTTTGTATTATCTTTGCTCCCTCCCGGGCGGCTACCAGTCCTCGGAGCCTCTTTGTATGCCGCAGACATGGCCAGCCAGCAGGATTCGGGCTTCTTTTTCTGCATTTTTTTTTAAGTGCCATGAGAAATTTTGCATATTGGAGGATGAGCCCGGCCACTCCTTGATATGGGTTACCTTGGATGTGTCCCTGCTGCTATACTGCAGTAAATACAACACGTGTGATGAAAAGAAAGATGAGAGGCCCTCCTGCTGGCATTGGTGTCAAACAAAGATGTATCCAGATAATATTCCTATAATGTGGTGATTGCTATCAGCAATGAGGCTTGGAGCAGACTTCTACAAACTGTCCACAGTGGCATTAATCACTCACCAAGGCACTCACTAGGGGAAATTGTTCTGGTAAGTGAACAATTTTCAATTCCTTTGAAAAGACCTCTAGAGAACTACATGAGAAAAAAATTAAAAGTATTAGTTCATGCAATCCAACTGGAACAGAGCTCTGGATTGATCAGAGTTGGATTTAAAAGGAGTTGATGTAGCCGAGCTCGGTGGCTCAGCCTGTAATCCCGCACTTTGGGAGGCTGAGGTGAGTGGATTGCCTGAGCCCGCGGGTTCGAGACCCACCTGGGCAACTTGGCGAGACTTCATCTCTGCAATAAATCAAAAAATCAGCCGGGCATGGTAGCGCATGCCTGTAATTCTGGCTACTCGGAAGGCTGAGGCGGAAGGATCACTGGAGTCCAGCAGCTCTAGGCTGCAGTGGCCAGGAGCGGCCACTGCACTCCAGTCTGGGCGACACAGTGAGACTCCAACTTTAAAAAAAAAAAAAAAAAGGAGTTGATGTGTCTCAAGAGCGAGTGACCACCTTCTTAGTGGTGTGTATATTAGGATCAAACACGATAGGAGGACAAACAGCGGTAGGGTCTACAATTTACATGATCTATAAGTGGGTGCGTGTGTATATGGCAGGCTCTGATATGACCTACTGTGTATTGAACTGGCAGTTTTGTTGTTGCTGATGTTCTCTTCCTCAGGATAAATGCACAGAAGGAAAGTTGATGGACTCTTCAGAGTATCAACCATGGCACAAGGCCTTTTTTTCCTTTTATAAGATTGGAACATATGATACTTGCTATGTGTTGTTTTTTTAATTCCTCCAAAAAAGATATGTTAGAGTACTAACATCCAAGACTTTACAAGTGATTTTATTTACATATAGGGCCTTTACAGAGGTAGTCAAGTTAAAATTAGGTCATTAGGGCGGGTCCTGATCATATACGACTATCTTTATAAAAAGGGAAAATTTGGGACATCACACATGCAAAAGGAGAGGCCCAGGTGAAGATTGGAGTCATGCTTATAGGTATAGAGGCCTGAAACAGACCAATTCCTGGTTCCTTCAGAGGGTCCATGGCCCTGACAACACTTGGATCTCAGACTTCTAGACTCCAGAGCCATGAGATGATAAATTCCTATTGTTTATGCCATACAACATGGGGTTCTTCATTATAGCCCCTCTAGCAAACTAACACAATCCTGGCATGGATATTTGAGGAGGAAAAACCTAGAAATTTCCTTTAGGATTGGACACTGTTTAGAGGCACTTTAGGATTGGACACTGTTTAGAGGCACTTTGGAAATTTTTACTTCCTTATATGTTGGATGTATGTTTCAGAAATCTATGCATTATATATTTCCAGGAGTCACAAGGAATATTAGCAATAAAAATAACAGATGACTTGTAGAAGTTTAGATAAATGAAGTCAAGGATTTCCTTTATATATTTTCCCTGGGTTTTATAAAGGTAGACTATGGAGATATATTATGAAGACTTGGTCTAAGACAAACTACAATGCAAACCCTCCTCTTGGTACCTAGAAAATATGTATCCTGATTCGCAGGATCTGTACAACTATTTCTCTTAGAGAGATGTGAACTATGGATACAAATTAAGGTCTGGATAGCATAGCCAGAAAAGAAAATGAAAAGGCTGGAATTTTTAGCTGTTATGGCATAGGATGTAATCAGGTCTTCCCTTACACAGCCAAGAAATAAATTAGAACAGGTAACTTTTGTTTGAATATTTCCAAACTTAATGTCTCAGTCACAATGCTCAAATGCCACCATGTAAAAGAGAACCAGTTTTGAAAATATGTCCCAGTGAAATGAAAATCATTGCCTGTGAACAATAATCACTGCCTGGTTAAAGTCATAAAAGAGGATAGCTAGGTGCTCAGCTTAACCAACAACAGAAGCTGGTCCACCCTCTGGAACTGTTCTGAGACCAGATTTGCAAACTAAGTAAGAATTGACTGACCTACCTTAGCATACATGTCTGTGAAGCAAAAAAGGAAAAATGTTTTCCTGCTCTGCAGGATAAATGGTGTTTTGGAAATTGAAAGTTGCACTCCTAGCTATTCTTTAACTGTGAGTCATTTTTCCTGCCCATGGATTTGAAACTACATACTAGTGAGGCCACACTGATGCTTACATAATTGATATGATTTTTAGTCAAGAATCATTATGAAAAATAATCAGACAATAGGACAATCAACAAAATGCACTTTCTAGAGAGCTGCATTTTTGTGAGTTTTGCTTAATCAACAATTTCTGCTGAATGTGCTGTCAAAATGAAGAGATTTCTAATTTTTTTTCCAATTAGAACTGGTAGCCAGTAGATTACATAAAGAAAAGGAACTGGTAGCAAATTTAGTATCATGAAAAAAATTATAACTTAAAAATATGTTTTTAAAGAATTTAAGGGAGGTTACATCAGAACTGTAAGAGCTACAATTTGTTATAGTATATAGTATCATATTTTTTACCTTAGTTGGGAAACATAACTGACTACAGTGGTACTCATTTTGTTTTCATTTGTGACAGTCATGACTGCTCTTTTATCCTTGGGGTGCTAAAATTGAACTGAAGAAAATGACTCTTTGAACATAGTTAATGTTTTCCTTTTTTTTCTAACTTTTAAAATTTTTTTATTTTAAAATTGTGGGGTACATTTCAGAGATAGTTATACAAATATTCACTGTGCAGATACCCTTGTCGATGAGGTCTGTCCCGCCCCCTTCCCCAGGCAGATTTCCACTACTGTTAGTCCCATCTCCCCGCTCCTCTCTATTTGGTTTGTAGACTGTTAAAATTGTAATTTTTAATTGACTTCTGAAAAATTGAGATTTGACAATGTCTGTCTCAACTGAACAAGTTAGATATCTGAGTTGCCCTTGGGTCAACAGGCTTGTACGTTTTCTCACACACACAAACACACACATACATACATGTAATTTGCTACATTTTCAACTTGCTAAGTTGATCCAACGTATTATGCTTCATATCCAAGACTCATAATACTGTACCAAAGATTTGTTTTCACAGCAGTAAATCTGTAATTTTTAAAAACATGATTTCACTCAAAAAAAGACCTGCAGAAGTGATTTGTTATTTGAGTATTTTGAGATAATGTATTTGAGGGTTTTTGTAAAGAAACTTTCCTATCCCATACTTAGCTGTTTGTCATTATCAAATACATATTTAGATTTGATTCTTGAATTAATATATTGATCTGCTGCCTTAAAAATTTTTTTGATTGAAAATGTTAAAGAAAAACAAATACCTCCCAAAAGATATCTATATATATGGAAAATGGAAAAGCATATGTTTGCAAATATAATTAAATTAAGGATCTTGAAATGGGAGATTATATTGGATCATTCAAGGAGACCTTCCTAAATGCAAATTCATGTATCTTTTTAAGAAAACAGCAGAGGAAGAATTGACATGGACGGAAGAAAAGACCATGTGAAGATGAAACAGAGAGAGATTTGAAGATACTGACCTTCAAGATTAAAGTAATCTGACAATAGTCAAGGAATACTGACAGTCACTAGAAGATAAAAAAAAGGCAAAGAGCTCCTTCTAGGGTCTCCAGAAGGGGTATGACTCTTGCCAGTGCCTTAATCTTGCCCAGTTTTGCTAATTTTGGACTTTAGGCCCCCAGAACTGTCAGATAATACATTTTTGTTGTTTTAAGCAACCAAATTTATGCCAATTTGTTGCATAGTCACAAGAAACTAATACAGATTCATGGGAATTTATCTAGTCTAATGGTTTCCACACATTTGTAGCAGCAAATTTGTTCCTTGTTTTTTCTTCCCAGTTTTATTTTTTATTTATTTTCTCCATGTTGGTGTTCTCACTCTCTTGGGGCAGGATCACAGCTCACTGCAGCCTCAAACTCTGGGGCTCAAATGATCCTTCTACCTCAGACTCCCAAGTAGCTGGGACTGCAGATGAGTGCCACCATGTTTGACTATACTTTTTTTGAGACAAGGTATTGCTATGTTGCTTAGGCTAGTCTCAAACTCCTGGGCTCAAGCAGTCCTTTCTCCTCAGTGTTCCAAAGTGCTGGGATTACAGGCATGTACCACTGCACCCTGCTTTATTCCTCAACTTTAATAAGCATCTGTTCCTTTTAGAACCAACATAATTACAATAAATGATAAGCAAGGGGAAAGTAGGATTATATACCTTTTACATACAAAGGGTCTGAAAGTCAGAAAATTTAATAACTGTTCAAGGAGACACAGTAACTGTTACAACTGATTCAAATTCAGATTTATACAACACAAATGACATTGTTCTTTATATAAAAATTACAACTCACCAAGTAGGGGCTACACACATACATTATATACTTATAAATTCTTATCCAGCCAGCTTACATACATATCTCTTATCCTAAGACTCAGATGTAAATAAAGTGGTGATGTCATAAATGATAAAGCTGCATGAAATCCATTCTCAATATGGTCATGAGTAACTTGAACTCCAACATTTCGAAGTCTTGAAGCATATATAAACCCATCATCTCTTGTAAGATCATATTGACAGGTAAGAATATAGGTCAGTGGCAAATTCTGTAACAGGGAATCATTAGCCAACAAAGGTGACATTCTATTATCTATCAATCCTGGGAATGAATAATTAAATTTTCCAAGAATTGGTTCAGTATAAACATGATCCTTTCTATACTTCTCAGGAAGAATAATACTCCAGTTAATATACTTAAACAGATCTCTTGACCCCAGAGGCATGTGTTGGTTCCTTCTAACTGCCTGGGGAAGTGCTTCATCCTTGGTGAAACATAAGCTCACAAGTTTTATGGCCATTTCTCTTGTCAGAACTATACCATTCTCATTTTCTCGGTGAGATGGCATATTAATATCGATTAACTGTAAGTAAGGGTATAGTAAAGCTTGCGCCTTTAGTTTGTGTTTCATTTTAGGATTATTCTCCACCTAAAAAAAAAAATACAATGGCATTCTGTAAGGTAAACATTTCCCAAATACCACGGGTATAAATTTTTTAACCATTTAATAAATCATGAGATAAACATCTACACACATTGATGTGAAAATCATTATTATTTTGACAATATTTATAATTTCTTTCAATGGCATGAAAAAAAGTCAAAGCCAACTCAACATTAAAGTTTTGAAAAATGTTGGTTGCGTGTGAAGGGAAAAAAAGAAAAAAAAATGGGAGAAAGAAGGAGAGAGAGAGAGAGAGAGAGACATAGAAAAAGAGAGAAAACAAAAAAGGAGAGAGATATATATGTAATGGCAAAAATCACAAATGGAAATAACCCAATTCTAAATGTGATATTTCTAGGGAAATTGGCAGCACATATAAGTTTTCAAAAATTTTTCTTAACTAAAGCAACCAAGGAGAATGAAAGGAGTAAATATAGCTATTAAATATTTCATTTTAGAATCTTTAAAATATTCCAAAAATTTATAATTTTTTGGCTACTAGCAGACAGTTCCAATATCAGATCATAATTTCATTTTTTTAGTCAAGATTTCACTCTGTCACCCAGGTTGAAGTGCAGTGGCACAGTCATAACCTCAACCTCCTGGGCTGAAACGATCCTTTCACCTCAGCATCCCAAGTAGCTGGTACTACAGGCACATGCCACTATGTCTGGCTAGTTTTGTAATTTGTTTTGTGGAGATGAGGTCTCACTATATTACCCAGGCTGATTTCGAACTCCTCCAATTCAAGCAATCCCCCTGCCTTAGCCTCCCAAAGTGTGGGGATTACAGGCATGAGCCACCACACCTGGCCCAATTTTAAAGAAACATTATCCAAATGCAAAAGCACATGGACCAAATAGGAAGAAAAAAGCCAAATGATAGGAATCTTAAGAGAGAAGAGTGTGGTGTTTGGGAAACAAAGGGTGAAATTATGAAAAAAAATGTGTTGATGCATATAAAGTTTGATGTGCAAAGAAAAAATGTGGAGTATGTGACAAGGAGTTCCTTTTCCTTTCTAAAGAGAAAGGGCATTTGGGGGCTTCACTTATGACCCTGCAGATAGCAGGAGAGGACTTTGAATTAATCTCCCAGGAGAAATAGTCTCATCTAAAATCTTTTATCTGAGACAATGGCATCTGGACACATGAAAATACCTACTGTTGCTCCAAGTGAAAAGTTCAGGACCAGAGGATGTGTCTCTAAGTCAACCTATCACCACAGTGGCTGGCTGAACTCAGAGGAGAAACTAAAGCGAAATCCAAGAGGAACCTCAGAATGGGAAATGGCATCCTACTACCTCCACAATGCATTCCCAAGATGATAGAGGTTTAACAAGTAGAGAATGAAAATTAGCCAAAACAGTTATTTGCTAGAAACTCTTCTAGATCCAAAAATCTCTTCCCAGTACCCATGGGTAGACAATTGACTAGTCAAAGTAGGTTACCATCGATATCTCACTCTCAGTCATCCTACTTTCAATCTTCCTAATGTAGGAAAAAAACACTGGAGACCACATACAGGGGGAGAGGGCAACAATAACCTACCAACACCTTTATCTGTCCTTAACTTTCCTTTCTGGGATACCATACAAACTAAATCACTTCTTCAAAATGTGTCACTATTTCCCACCTCTATGTTCTTCATGTGATTTGTCACTTTGCCATTCAACACCTTTTTCCTGTCTCTCTAAAATGTTTCAAAATCCAGGTCAAAGACAATCCCCTTCAAGATATCAGATCACCTGGGTCAGATTCACCAATGTTGATAATTTTGCTTTAGTCTTAACAACTGTGCTATTCATCTGGCGTGTGTCAGATATTTTCCACACATTTTATATATATATTCATAACCATGTATTTATGATTATGTATGTAAATGCCTTATCAAAGAAAACTCCTTTTTCTCCAAATTCCCAAATCTCTATTATCTTTTTCAGGTCAATTATTCACTTTTCCTTTATCATATAAAAATGTACATGATGAATCTTCCTACTTGATTTTGAATTTCACCAACACTGACATGAAGCTATCATTGTATACCTACCTAACTGAGCCTAAGATAGTAAAATGCTTAATGTAATATGAAAAAAATAGAAAAATGAGTACTGCTATCTCATTTATAATTCTTTTAGCAGGACATTGTCTCTAGAGCCAGAAAAAAACAAAATGCAAGAAGCAGTAACAGGTATAAGACAAGTAGGTCCCAATAATAACAGTGAATTTTTAAACTATTTATAGCTTAGTTCTTTCCTTCTTGACCCAAATGGCTCAAAGACAACCAGCTAATCAGAGTTCAAAGGTTCAGTTAAAAATTAATATTGAACCATGTCAACAAGCCCTGAATGGACTATTCCATAAAATGGACACAAATATCACACAATTTGATTAGTATTCTTCATTTTGTGGGCAACTAATGGGTACAAAAAAACCTTATGACATTCATCTGGGGATGTTATTGTTTTGAAAAGAACAAGAATGAGAAAGAACAAGGTCAAAAAGTTGAGAGAACATACCCAAATCATGGTAACATCCTTAAGGTTTAGACATTGGTTACTGTATTTAAATTTTCCATTTACTTTTTAAATTAATTTTTCAATATAATAAAGACCTTTAAATAACTCAGCAATTAAGAAGTTATGGAAGATGTTCAACAAAGCCCATCATTATTCTTAATCCTTTTCAAGAATGAACATTATTTCAATAAAAACATAATGGAAGTATGCATTTAAACTTTTCTTTTTTAAAATTTTATTTTATTATAGAGATGCGGGGCATAAGTGAGGATTAACTATATAAGTAGGCTTCATGCAGGTAAAGTTTGGGCCTCCAACTAGCCCTCATTTCCCCTGGTTTTGGGCCAGGTACTCTTTGTGTTGTTACGTGTTCCCTCTCTCCCTTCTTCCCCTGGCAGTGCCCAGCAACTGTAGATCCCTCCTTTGTGCTATTGTGATCCATGTTCAGGTCCCACTTTGAGTAAGAACATGCAGTATTCAGTTCTTTGTTTCTGTGATAGATCACTAAGTATGCTGGTCTCCAACTCCATCATTAATCCTGAATGTATAATATTTACAGTAAAATGTTTCATATAAATTATTCACTTCACCCCTCCTTTATTAAGCAACCTAATCTGAATTTGAAACTGGTTGTTGAGTTATTGGCCATGTCACTGATATTACTGTCATCAAGAAGACAGTTTATTTACACCATGGTAAAGATTGGTCTCTCAAGTCTATCCACTTAAAAGCAAAATTTGGGAACCAGTTCATGAATAGTTTCCACGATATGCTTAAAAACTTGGAGGAAAATGTGGACTAGAACAATTTTCATTACATTTTTTTATTCACAAACAACCCCCCTGGCTGGTATGAGTTGGGAGTGGTGGCAGAAAGGAAGTTGATAGCAAAGTCAGAAAAGAGGTGCTCCATGGCTTTGTATGCCCTGCATCAGTCTGTGACTTTGAATGGACTTGGAAGCAGTAACCTGCCATGAATTCCTGTGATTTAAAGCCCACTCCAGACAGTATAAGGCATTATAAAGTCCTCTCCCATTTCCCAACTATCCCATGACCATCCAAAGGACATGACACTTTCTCTAGACGATGGTAAGTTCCCCCTGATAAAGGGTTATATTTCACTTTGCCCTTCATCATCCACTGCCTTTATTAACCCAGTCATTCACAAATGACCCTTCCATCAAGTTTCCTGGTTTGGGTGTGTGTTATTAAAAGTTCTGAAAGTCCACACCAAATCATCCATGGCCTGTTATCCTTGGGAAGATGAATGTATGCAAAATATTAACTTGTTATTTGAGGAGTCCCTGCATTGATAGTGCTAAGTCTTGTTCACCAAACTTAGCATATCTGTCATTCTCATCCCAGAGCACCACCCAACTTTAATGCAACTATCAGTGCTACCCACACTAATTTTCCTTTTCATCAACCAGCCCTACCTGCTCTGCACACAGTTCCATACATACATCGAAAGTCAATGTATATCTAGATAGATTATGAACCACCTTGAAGAAATTTCAACATGGGAGGGTTTTTTGGGCTCATCTTAGCACATATATTCCAGTCATGCTGGAAGCTGAAGAATTCCCACATGGGCTAGATGGAGAACTCTTCAAAGAGCCTAAGACGGTGAACCTGCAGTAAAACAGGGTATATCTCTCAAAAGCGCTGGACTCATAGTGATGCCACATTCAGGTGCAATATCTAGTCATCTGGGAAGAAAGAGCCTGAAATCATGTTGCTCAGTGGTGAAGACTTTCACATCTGGATTTGTAACATATTCATTCTATGACCTTGACCCATAAAATTGATATAACATTACTAAATAGGGCATATGGTTTTAATAAAGATTATACGAGAATTAAAATAAAGTTCTGGGCATATAGTAAGCACTCAGTAAATGCTGACTATACTTATTATTGTTGTGAAAACACACGTGAAAAGAACCCAATAATCTATCCTTGAAATGCTTCATAAAAATATTTGTTGATCATCCAACAAGCAAATCCCAGGAAATATTTTATTGGTGCAACTACATTCTGTTTGAGGATGCAGAGATGGTGTCTACATAAGCATCTTAATAACCTGTGTATACATGACTCTAATCTCATATGCCTTCTGAAAAACATACCCTCCCACCAATTTCATGTAAGTATTACTCTCCAATACAGGAGCATTGTCATGCCCTGATTCTTTTAATCATTTCAATCACTTGTTCAATATTGTCTGTCACTTAATTCTCTCCTATTTTCATTACACTTATTACTCTTGAATAGATGTTTTTTGACCAGCCTCATCTCCACTTTCAAACACAGGCTTAGTTCCCAGAGTCTCACTTTGTATCAGAAACCCTCCACATTTTGAGAAGTCGCAGTCGCCTAATATTCAATGAGCATTTGCTTCAAGTTATACATTCTGATTATTGTTTTATATTTAATTTTCTCTTGTATATATCACAAGACCTTCAAACTCAT